TATATTAAAACCTTAATATTAATATCTCATTTAATTATTATACTCTGTAATTCGATTCTGTATACAGGACTGCTTCTTTGTGAAACTTTGCTTTCTTTTAAAATAAAATGAATTTAGATCTTTATAATAATCATCCTCGGCCATACTCTATTTAATAGAATTATCACTTTTTGTGCCATTATTTCCAAATTTTGAAAGAGAAGTTCAAGAAATGTCGTTGGATAAATTTAGATTAGTTATACAAATCCCGCGTAAAATGTTTTATGCAATCTGACTAGTCTTCATTAGGCATTTTGCAAAACGACTGAAGGCAGGCTCTTTGTAAAATATCCTTCTTTTGTTAAAAACGCCGGCGTTTTATAATATGCCTAGTCTTTTTGCAAAATGCCGAGTTCGATACGCCTAGCGCCTGCGACATACATACCAAAGAATATCTTACATACTCTAGTCACTGGAATATTTTTCAAGTGGATATAGAAAAATTCTATAAATTTATTTCTTTCTCCTGTCTTTTTTACATGTCTGATGTCTGATTTCAGTTTAAAAAACTTAAGAGAGTATTACAACAAAAAAAGTATATGCTCTTTACATTGTATCAAGTTATCAAATAAACCACCTACTTTAAAACATCAAAAGAAAATAATAAGCAAAGTTTACAAAAGTTAATTTTGTAATTAAACATCTTTTTTAAAAGAAATGCGAATTTTTTGTTGTATAATTTTATTTTTCTCTCCTTTATAACATAATATTTGAAATAACATGATTCACTTTTTATCCATAACAATATTATATTACGCATATAACGTTTATTAATACGGTATGATCGAAAAAAGAACGGCGTCAAATTTCCTTGAAAACCCACATAATTTTACAAGGCACCGACGGGTTTTTTCTCGATGATACAGTATACCATCCATATTTTAATGCATACCAGTCTATATTTTAATGCATACGACAGAGACAGATATAAATGATCATTAATTTGACAGACTGAAAGACAAAATAAAAACCGGCATACAGCGTTACCGGTTCACACGTAAATTTTGATGCAAAATCAACACGTAAATTTTGATTTTGCATTAAACTGTCTTTATCACTGTCTTACACGTGAAAATCCAGACTACAGGTCTAGGATGACCCAACCTGTATATTTAACGCAATCACAATAGTCTAAAAATAATTATTAGCCTACATCAACATTAAATTCAATAGTTATTTCATTTAAAGTTGCATATTTACTTAAGCAAAACAATTCCTAAAAGGTAAACTAGTTGCGCAAGCTTCTCATAATTTAGGTTCATCTTTATTTAATAAAAAAGATATTAAATTTGAGGATGTTTCCTTGTCACTCGCCCACATTCAGCGTATACAGAATGCCTTGTTTAACTCAAGTAAATACTAACTTTAAAATATTATGCCAAGACTATAGTCTTTGCTCATTTGGCTATATACAATTTAGGCTGTACTTAAACTGCCGTTAAACGGTAGCTTACTAAAATGCCGTTAATAGGTATGACGTCGTTGATGTGACGCATGTGACGCACTTGACGGCTTTATCAAATACAGAAATTTATAAGGACTAACCAACGCTATCCACCCCACCAAATAACCAACTTAACCAGCGCAACTAACCTCGACACTGATAAAAAATATAAAAAACAAATATAAATTAGTAAAAATCAACCAACCCCACCAAATAACCAACTAACCAATGAATTAACACCCTCCAAATAACCACGCTAACCAACCCGCCAAATAACTAAACCAATCCAACTAAAAAGAGTGAAACCAATGCAATAAGATAACGCTATAAGCAAAAAAAAAGTCTTGGTCGGCGTGAGATTTGAACCACGGACCATTCGCTTACGAAGCGATAGCCTCAGCCACTGACCCACAGTTACTCTTGCAGAAAGCTTAACGCTAGGCATTACTTTCCGCCGACATGAACGACGTCACAATATCTATTAACGGCATTTTAGTAGGCTACCGTTTAACGGCTGTTTAAGTACATCGTACAATTTAACACATTTAGAAAAAAGCAGTCATTAACTCTCAGTCTCTCTCAAAAATAAACCCATTTAGAAAAAGTAAATCAATATAAAAAGAGATGTAGATTAAAACAAATGTATATGTAAGATACAGTAAACGCCACGAATGTTTGGGAGTGATTCATCGGTCGCTACCATGTGAACTAATCTGTTCAAGGTCACATACAACTTAATTCCAGTGCCGTGGTGTTTCAAGTCATATAATAGTCAATATATAATCTGTGTAATTTGTTGTTTTAACTGTCAAAGTCTTGTCAAAACATATATTTGGTTATAAGCAGGTTATAAGTATAAACTGGAATGCCCCTTTGCTCGCACTGCAAGCACACCAATGGACTGGCGCACAAAAACGAATCAATCAAAGAAACGCGATATAGTATCGTCTTTGTCATTCACGCTAACATTTTAGAATAAGTAGGAGGAGCGCAGGCAGATGATTAGACCGGGCCTTTAAAAACCTACGTCTGCGGTGAAAATTTACGTTTTTAATGTAAAAATGATAGCGCGCGTGTCGATTCTAACTTCATCAAGCGATGAATCAGTAATCACTCCCAAACATTCGTGGCGTTTACATTATATTCGTTCTTCTCTTATAAGTGTTTATTGTTTTTTTTGTATTATTTTTTAATGTTTTTAAGTATCTTTATACGATGTGAAAGAAAAAAAAAAGACATTTTTTTTCTTTTTTTTAATATTGTTTTGTAAATTTTGTAATGTAATGGGGTTTCCCGTAAATAAATAAATAAATAAATATATAGCGTATGTTAAAAATACGGAGTTGTTACCTTAAAATGTCATCAACTATTGCCATTTCTGTGATAACTTGACGCCGGTTTTTTAGCAAATCCATTAGAAATTTCAAATACTATTATATTTTGCTTTATTAATATAGTTGTTTAAAAAGTTCTGCTAAAGTAGAAAAGTTATTTAAATAACTTATCATTTTCTACATAATATCACTGTTTGATTGTTTCCACAAATATTTATTTTTTATATTATTATAATTTTTTTTTATTTTTACCTAACAGACGAACTAATGTGAAATATACATGGATCGGTTATCTAGCTGTCTCTAACTGACTCGGCTTCGACTCCAATACATTGCAGGGATAGGCGATAATCTGTACACCGGTTGTTGCATCGTCGAGCAGGACATAGGAAATCCCATGTAAATTTTAATGGGGTCAATTATTGGCTTCCCTAATTATTTTAGAGAATAATTCTATTTAGGTTTATTGAAGAGCACTAAAACCCACATTCAAAAAAATAACTTTAGATATTTTTGATTAGCTCGTTTACGAGTTATCGCCGATTTCTTTTTAAATATTTTTCATGGCCCTGTATTTACTTATGAGCACCAGTCAAGGTAAAAGATAACTGTCAAATAAAGTTGTCATTTAATACTACCTAAATTGATAAGTTATTGAATATTGTAATAATACTATAATTAACCTTGTAATTGATTACTTTATTTTACTTTAATTCATATTAATTTGTATTTATAAATACATCTTTAAGATTTCCGATGTAGGAATGAGTTTTCAATAATAATAAAGCACTAAATAGGTAAATTTCTGAAATGACAACTTCATTTGACAGTTATCTTTTATCTTGACTGGTGCTCATAAGTAAATACAGGGCCATAAGAAAGGAGAAATATTTAAAAAGAAATCAGCGATAACTCGTAAACGAGCTAATAAAAAATATCTAAAGTTATTCTTTTGAATGTGGGTTTTAGTGCTCTTCGATAAACCTAAATAGAATTATTCTCTAACATAATTAGGGAAGCTAATAATTGACCCCATTAAAATTTAGATGGGATTTCCTATGTCCCGTCCGACGATGCAACACCCGGTATAGTTTATATGTATATGATAAAAATACAGCACTCCTATAAGATGTCATAGAAAATATGTATTATTTGTGGTTACCTACATAACAGTGGCAGTCAACAAACAACATGAAATTTGTCATATATTAATCAATTTTAGGCACTCTATTGTTGAATAATAATAGTAGTATCTCACATATAGGCAATAATTCAATTAAATATTTACATGCTGATAACTTTATGTTTTTGCTTCCTATACTTACCTGATTCAATTAAAAAAATCATTATTATATCAATGTTACGTTATTACAGAAATAATATAAAAATGATTAGTAGTAACATTACAAATATTGTAGCTTTATATTAGTACAAGACCTAGCAACGTCGGAAAAACAAGTATTTTAATATGTCTAGCTCTTTGATATATCTTTTACTATGCTCTCTAGAACAGCATGCGGGCCCGTCTGGCTGCCGGTAAACGTTGCGTTCTCTACTGCGCATTGAAAGAAGATCCTATATTTTTATTAGTCCTTTAAATTCTAGTATTGAATTTTAATCGAACATGTCTCCATAGCGCAGTGCGTAGAGTTTCCGACCACGAACCGATGATTCAGAGTTCGAATCAGGGTCAAGGCAAAGCTTTTTTATTTTATTTGCGTTTATATTCTGATAGTAAAGTATTAAATATTTGTTTTTTTTTAATTACCAGAATTATTTAATACTTTACAATCAGAATATAAACGAAAATAAAATAAAAAAGTCTTTGACCTGACCCGGATTCGAACTCTGAATCGTCGGTTCGTGGTCGGAAACTCTACGCACTGCGCTATGGAGACATGTTCGATTTATATTCAATACTAGAATTTATAGGACTAAATTAATAAAAAATATAGAATCTTCTTCCGATGCGCAGTAGTGAACGTAACGGGTATTAGCAGCCAGACGGGCCGTATGCTGTTCCAGAGAGCATAGTAAAAGATATATCAAAGAGCCAGACGTCTTAAAATACTTTCTCGAAAACGTTGCTAGCTCTTAGACTATATAGTCTGATCACAAAGTTTTATGAGTAGCAGACTTTGACAATAAAAAAACATGACAAAAATTAAATAAATGAAAACCAATCTAAGAAAACATATATAATTTTAGGCATTTCCTATACTAAAACTAAAACCAGTATGACATCATTAATCCTCTGTATCGCCTGCATTTGTGTTTATTATGCTTTCATCATCAAGCCTATGTCTATTAGTTCTTCTTAAAATGGCTGATCTAACTGACATAAAGGTGGATGCAAATGTTATTCCATTATACAAACACATACCAACAATTAACAGAAGAAAACCCAGAAGCTAAAAGGCAGTCATATAAATTTTTTGACAAAAAAAATAAAAAGATTGATATACCTGTAAAGCGTGGAATTTTTGATCAAAAAACATTAAACTAAACATCCAAATAATAATCGTTCTAATGCTATCCAAAACCATTCTGGTAGTTGCTGACATTTCTTTTGTTACGCTTATACCAGCAAAATTAAAGAATGCAATTGAAATAACAGTACCTATAAATTACATAATAAATATTCATAAAAAATTTCAATCTAATTATACAGACCTAAAATTGCAATAAATAATTGCCAACTGTGCCCAATTTGAACAAAAGCATCAACGGCATCTTCTAACCGATCCCCATTGTGCTGTGTTAGCGGAGGGCCAGCACGTATAAAATAAAATGGGATTTGTAAAAATCCAAGAGTTAAAAAACCAAACAGTCCTAAAATAACCCAAATAAAATTTGTAAAAAATTAGAATTTATGAATTAAAATTCTTAACAAACCTTCCCATCCTACAGCTTGCAAAGGAGGTATGTTTAATCCCCCAACAAATTTCTCTTCTACCACCATTTGAATGGCTTGTATAATTTGTGCAATTACAATAAGCATATCGCCTGTTATTATATCATTTTTATTATGAGATCCATCATTATCATTAGAAACAAAATCTGCCACACCAACAATTGCTAAACCTAATGAAAAATAATGAAAAAAATTATATTCAAGGGATTTCAAATTCCTTACCTATGATCACAGAACCTATTCCAAACCACTCTCTTTTAACCAAATTTTTCCCTAAGAAAGCTACGCTCAATAATGCAACGAATACAATAACAGATCCTAAAAACATACATTTACATAAATTTTATATATATAATACTGTTTTATTCAAAGAATATACCTCTGAACATTTGAAAACTAGAAGCAAAAGTTAAATTGAGACCAATGTACATTATAGATGTAGCTGTCATATCACACATAGCAGGAATAAACAAAATGAAAGGATTAAAATCTCTATTACCCTTTGTCAACTCTGAAACATCTTCTGTTCCATCCTAAAATGTGTTTGTACAATATGCATTATATGTTGCTGTACCATATAACATAATTTCCATTTTATATTTTTATATAATCTTAAGCCCCGTTCTCAGAACAGTGACTGTCGCTAGCGACACATCAAAGGAACCAATCAGATTTGTACAAAATTCAAACAGCTGTCAATTTTAAATTTAGTACAGCCTGAGCCAGAGTTTAGCTCCCATTGGTCGTTTGAAGTTAGTTTGAAGTGTCAGTCAGTGTAGCTGGAGACACAACGTCATTCTGAGAACGGGGCTTTATAACTAAACTCTTTCATACAATTAAAATTATTGTTTTTAATTTTTTAGCATGTAAATCTAAACCTATTTAACAATATGAACGATGAATCATCATATCACTATATAAGAAATTTACTTATAATAATATTATAGAAGGTTAGCAAAAGAAGAGTACCAAAGTACTACAAAATTTACTAATAAAAATGAAAAAAACTTACTGCTCTTTTACTGTATATCTTGTATAAAGTTTTAAATAATACTAGACACATAAGTTCGCCCAAAAACATAGTGCTAGCTTGAAAAAAGGGGTGATCAAAATTCTTTTCTTCGCCATCCCGACCAATTGATTTTATCAAATCAGCCCATCTAAAAACATAAAAAATTAATGTCCACGAACACGAGAAAAATTATAGCCGATTATAAGATTTATTTACTTAAAAACTCACTTTGTACTGATTGTGTTGATGCTTCCAGTAGTAATCATTAAAAGAGCTATAAACGTTTGGTAACCAGTCCAAGCCATTTTTATATTTTACGGTTACAATGGAAAACGAAAAAATATTAATAAATTTTTTTTAAAATATCTCACATAGACTTGTGAATCACAAATTGTGAACTTGACTAAACAGATTTTATCTGATTTTATCAACAGATGTTTAAATTGACGTCTACGACGTAAACAAAGAGTTTGACAGATAACAGTTATACAACCAAAAATACACACTTAACTTTAAATCTTCTCTTAATACGCTTTTAATTAGATCTGAAATATTCCACGGTACTTTATAAATAATGGAAAAATCTATTGCAACAACTTATTTGTACAAATGTAATAAAAATGGCAAAATATTAGAAAAAACTTAAGCCCTCCATAGAAAAAACAATCTAGTCATATATCAAAGTGTCATTAGTCATATATAAAAATTAGAAAACTGATCTATAGATTAATATAAATATCTGAACTTGAAATGGGCACGAGTGTTTTTTTTTTCTCCATTTAAGTGTTATTTAAATTTTCGATTAGAGTAGATAAATTTGGTGTAAAAAGAGCTCGTATTATATTAAAGTTTTTACCAGAGATATGGAAGTGGGAGAATGAGCTTCGACGAGTGCGCATCCAAATTTTTGTCGACGGCAAGATGGCAGACATCTTCCAGGTCTCGCTGTCACTTCCCCTCTTTAATTGACATCTGTTTGTTTTGTTTTGTTTTTCGTTTGTGTTGTTATCTAGTTAAAATTTATTATTTATCTCAATTATTCTAAACACTAATTCAAAAAGGCTTGTATATTCATAGTCATTCTAAGAAAGCTAATACGCCGGGAATAATGATTAGTTTTCATGTGTAAGTTTATACAACATAATCGTGTTTACAGATGATTCAAAACTGTTTATTTTTAGTTTTCCTAAAGGCGATTTGTAAAAATCGTGATTGTAATTGGGAATGGTCAAAAATAAGTGTATGATGTGGCCATTTAAAGAGGTTGTTGACCATTTAAAGAGGTTGTTTGTCAAAATTCAAGTCATTGTCATGACTTGAATTTTGACAAATTGAATTTGTATCAAAATAATTTTACGAAATATAAAATTGATGTTCTATTACAAGATTGAGTTTTTATTGTCGACAAAAACCAGGATAAATACTAATAATAATACCCTTAATAAAATCAATGATGTTTATGTATTATGAAAATATTTGTTAGAGGACATGTTATGTAACAGTTTTTGTAACACAATTTGAAGGGACGAATAAAAAAAATAAAACAAAAACATATTTTTTTCTAGGTTTATATTAAAAATACAAGGTAATCATCAAAAATAATTATGAACCAAATGTTTTATGAATATACAACTTGAACAAAAAGTTGTTTAGAACAATTTTTACCAAATTTGCAAAAATTTTAAATTGAAACGCGTAATTCTGTACAAGTAAACATGAAATAATTGTAAATACTTATTTAATGGCATTTCGAGTGTTTAACGAGGAAAAGGTCATCTGTCCGTAGCGTCTTTTGTCAGAATATTCGTATATTTAGTGTATTATATACCAATATTGTACGCAGTTTTGAAACTGATAATTAAATAAATCATATTAATGTTAACTAACCATAATAAATGATAGAATTTCACTAAATTTAAATCACAGGGGAACTGTTTACATTTTATGCGAATGCCAACATCCTATTGTTATTGTTTGGTATGTTGCCCAGTATTTCTCCGCTTTTGTTTATTTTTGATTTTGTATACGTATACTTTGGGGAAATCTTAAGAAAATAATAATATAATTAGCTTACTACTTTTCAAAATTTCGACATTTATAATTTTATTTAGTACTTATTAAGATTCAGTCAAGATTACAAGAAAAATAAACTTGAAATATTTGTAAATTTTGTCATTTTTCATCAGCCGTTAGGATTAATTTTTAATCTGACAACGCCGCTCTGTTGTTATAGTATTTTCTCATGGTACAAAGAATACAAGGTATGATATTGCGCAGGTTGGTCGCTACGTCACAGGTGATAACAGACGCTATTGGTCAGCACGCTCCGCGCGCCAGTTCAAATCGTCAAGATATTGTTATAAATCTGTTTTTTTGTTTATATACCGTCATTGAATTATCGCTAAGCAAGTTACTGTGGAGCAGTGCGTAAGGAGTCGGGCTAGAAAGCGAGAGACCGGAGTTCGAATCTCGGCCGGGACATAACTTTTTATTTATTTTTTTAAATACTGTTGTATTCTATAGTTTTTTTTGTAGTATAAAAAAAGAACTATTTATTCTGTTATTTTTTAATCTCCGTTATTAATATAAATTGATTGTTGGTACAATACCTCATTTAATATAAAATAATCTACTTTTTGAAATGTATCGGGCCCTAATTGTACCTAAAAGTAATATATTTTTAGTGATATACCATATTGTAAACTATTTAATATTTCAGTCACTTAAAAAGTTAATTTGCATTGAATAATTGTCTACCATTAAAGGAAATTTGAGCTATAATATAATCCTCGATGGGCATATTCTGGGTATGCAAATACTTCCTCTAAATTTTGGGTGTCGTTCAACCAATTTATTCTCAAAACCTGAAACATCTATATATAAAAAGAAGCACAGGTCACTAATTATAATAAACTTCACCCTTGGAATTACTTCTATCACAATTACAATACGTTCATCTGCATTGGCATTTTCTACTTTTCGATGGGAAACAATAAACTTCCCAACATTTTTTAAATGATGTAATAATTCCTCTTGTGGTTACTTTACCATAGATAACCTCATCTCTGTCCTCATGTGAATTCAGAGGCAATGAACATGAAAATTATTTACCATAAACTAAAAACCTAATAAACAATTTTATACCGAATATAGAAATAAATTTAGTATTCTTACCTAAGGCTATTATCGACCAAATCCATGTTAATAGGTAATTATTATTTTTAAATATATTTTTGGAACTGCTGGTTTTAGTAATTATTAAATTAAACGAACTAAAAAGTCTTAAAAATAAACAATTCTTAACCATAAACCCAAAAAATGCAGATATCCTGTCAACTTTCTTTATTTTTTATTTATTCATTATTTTCATAGTGACGTCACAGGTGGTATGCGCGAACTGAACGAAATTGGATCCGCTATCGATCATACCTTGTATTCTTTGTACCATGACTTTTGATTATGTATAAATACCGTATGATCGAATAAAACGGCGTCCAGTTGGCTTAGAAATGATGATCGATGACATTTTCCATATAATTTTACATATAAAATGACAGCGATCTTCATTTCATAGCCATCGCTGACGCCGTTTTTATTCGATCATACGGTATATACACAAGCAGGGTATTAATAGGGTATTAATACAAGAGGCGGGGTAAAATTTAAAAATGTAATTGAGTTACGCATATTTTATTTAATATATTATTTTGCTTATATAATATTTATTTAAGCTTATTATAGTTATTTTGTATTTGTTTTATAGTTTATAGGTATTATTATTACGAAGTTCTATAATAAAACAATATTTTACTTTATTTTATAAAAAATAATGTCATAAAAATATGACCTTTCTGTTAGGTATATTAAATTTTTGAAAGTTAAGAACAATCTAGACTTAAACAGACTGATAGAATTCAATTTTTATTCTAATTTCAATTCTATCGGAAACGTTTAAACAAACTACAAAAATAATTAATGCAATAAGTTAAATAATATATTATTTGAGGTGTTTTTAATTATTAGACAAGTATTATATAGTTATTTTTATAGTTAAAGACATTTTTTAAAAATGTAATTCAGTGACGTAAGGGACGACGTAATCAGGGAGATGATTATGAGAGAACCAGAGGAGAGAACGAAGAACGAATGTTCCGTTGATATTTTGTCATCCTTGATAAAACCAAAAAGTAATGATGGAATATATACTGATTATCGCCTATCTCTGCAAATGTGTTGGAGTTGAAGCCGAGTTAGAGACAACCACAGAGACAACTAGATAACCGGTTCATGTATATTTCACTTTGAATAAGAAGACTAGGGTGCAGCCACACTATCCTAAAAACGGCGTATCGGCGTAACGGCGTAATGACCTTGAATAGATTTCCAGCAATTCTATTGGCTGAAACATTCATCTGTCAGAAATTTTATCTGTCAAATTCATCTGTCAAAAATTTCAGCCAATAGAATTACTGGAAATCGATTCAAGGTCGTTACGCCGTTACGCCGATACGCCGTTTGTAGGATAGTGTGGCTGCACCCTAAGGAAGGAGCATAATGCTATCCATGTATTCATGCATGTTGGGCGGAAAAGGCACCATAAAGAGTACGTTCCACTAAGCACTCATAACGTTCACGCTCAAGATCGCGATTTTTCCGGTTCCACTTGCTTGCGAGCGTTACAATCATAAACTCAAGTGGAATGGGTTATGGGGCGTTTTAAGGGTCAATCCTGTCAATGTATGTAAATAAATAGTAAATAATAGTCAAAATCACAGAAGAGAAT